GTGGGTCTATATGGGCGTACAAATGTGACAGAAACTAACTGATATTGCCTGCTTTCAGACTGTTCAAGAATCCACCCCACTCACAAACAAAAACAACCGACAACAACAAAGAACGAGGAAAAAACACAAACAATAGTCAACTAACAGACGCACAATAGCCGCCTAACACCTCAGCTCTATACTATTCCGTACCTGACACTTGAACAAGAACACAAGAAAAAAGAAGGTATGTGAAAGCCACAAAGATTGTGGTAGATCTACATTTCTTTCTCCGCAGAAGCCTTTCTATGCTTTTTTATGATTACTCTGTTGCTCGTGCGTGTGCACGTGTGCGCGTGTGTTTGTGTGTACGAGAGCGTGAAACAGCGAGGACCAGGGTACGCTGTCTGAGTTAATTACCATAGCGAAACGCTTTAAAAGCAGTGTACACTTATCTATCTTGTCGGTTCTGTTGAATCGGTTCGGGTCTGAAAATTGCTGTCGGCCAGCGTAGACTTATACGGGGTGCCCATTGGGGGATCGGGTCTGGTCGGGGCGGTTTGCTAGCCAGGTTGAGAGCGCAAAGCGGCTATCGTGGCACAAACCGATCACACCCGACTCTTACTTTTACTTTTATCCGCCGCTTATACCCTTTTGAGTGTCGCGGGAAGAAAGAGACGTCTCTCTGTCGCCAGCCGGAGAGCTTGGGTCAGGGGATGCCAAGGGTGGTTAATGTTTCTCTGACTCCATCTATCCAGGTCTTTCTCGGTCGCCCTCTAGCCTTGTTGCCATCGAATTATTTTAAGTAGGCACGTTGTGCTGAATGGTGTGTTGGTAATCGTAGGAGAAGTCCGAACCATTTGATTCTTTGGTGTTGGATGTGATGCATGACATCATTTGTGCCCGCCATTTCTCGGATTAGAGAGTTTCTAATTTTGTCTCTCCTGGTCTTGTTTACTGTTTTTCTAAGGCATCGCATTTCACATGTCGCAATTCTTCGCTCTAAAGTCTTGTTCATGGTCCATGTTTGGCATTGATAGGTGAGTGTTGGGATGAATATGGTGTTGATCATTTTGAGTTTTGCTGTCATGGGGATGTTGTTAGGATGTTTCATATAAGAACCAACAGGGGTAATGCTGGTAACTAACATTATTGGCCTTTTGTACTCGTGTTTCAATTTCTCTGTTCAATCGCTTAAATAATGCATTTGTTTTAAGGCGACGAGGCGGGCGATCATTCCGATCCGACCAGACCCAATCCCCCAACGAGCACCCCTTTTTATCAGACGTAGACAAGCTTGGGCATAGAGTCAAACTGGTCTGAAACGGCCACCCATTGTCATGAAG